ATATAACAAAATGTTTTGATAATTATACTCTGATATTTTTAATAAAATTGAATCCAAGTTTTCCCAATCTATTTATTAGAAGAACTTAACAATCATCTATAGAATACTTTTCTGTTTTCTATTATTCAAGATTATCATTATAATACTCCTCTTCAAAATTTTATATCAAATCTCTTATAGTCTTATTGACAGAGATATCAAAAACTTGTATATAGCCCGTAATACCTCTAGGAATGATAGAAATAGTAATATTGAGATTTCTTAGAGTTTGTTATAATTGTATAACTTCAAGCTCACTTTTCTTTTAAATTTGATATTGAGATATAGACTTATTAGCACTGGTTTTGTATCCTTTACTTTTGTGAGTAGCAAAAAAGTTTAATATTAAAAGATAAGGTTTATATATTATAGAAGATTCTACTATAAACCATTTAAACTGATTTTTGAATTATTTCATAAACTCTTTAGTATTATAGTACCCCTTAGCATTGAAAATGATATCTACTCCCTTATAGTAGCTTTTGAATTCTTATTACCAGATTTTGTTTCCAATATCTTCAATACCTTTGAATATTATAAAAGGTTTGTATCAAGGAATGCTATTAGTGGAAATTATGATTTATAAAGTAGTTTAACACTTTTCCTATCCACTTTTGTTATCTTTCAAAAACACAGTATTATTACCTTTGTAATCGTAGATATAACCAATTGAATCAAACTTGAAAGAAAAAAATGTCTAATCTATATTAAATATATTCGAAAAAAGAAATTGTTCGATTATATATTAAAAAATTAGCAATGCTCAAAAAGGGGATATCCAAAAAAATAAAAAGCAGGATAAAAAAAGGTTAAATTTATCAATTCTAGGGTTATCAATTGATTCATTCTTTGAATTCCCAGTATCCGAATCATGATTTCGAATAATGTTTCATCAATTAAATTGGTATCATCACTGAATAACCTTTTGTAACTATTCTGGATCCTTTTGGGCACATTTCGTCTTGTATCGAAAAAAGACCCGGTATTGTTGAAAAAATACTGAAAACCAGCAATTTGAAAACTTGAATTCAAAATAGATCCATCTGCCAGTAGCTTCTTTAGTATATATAACTTTCAAAGGATAAAGATCCCAATAAATCTTTTTTGTATAACAAGTAAACCAATGATATATAATACATCTCCCAATAATTCTATAAAAATAAAACTTATTGTAAAATCTTTATTTTATAACTGGGTGAATGCATTGGTATATATTAAAAGTCCTATAAACGCCTTTTGGAGAGTTTACAATCAATTATTCTTTAGAGAGCTAGGTACTGAAGAGAATAAAAATGATTCCAAGAGTTTTTACAGTATAGTATATAGTAATTGGCATTGAACTATCGATTTTGGTTTTTTTCCATGTATATCGATAGTATTGAATAATTCTAAGCTTGAGTTTATGAGAGTAGGAAAAACGTCTCAAATAATTGCTTTCAAAATCACCTTCTTGATGACAATAATGATGGAATGCTTTGATTAGAGCTTGTTTGTTGACAATATCAACCCAATATCATCGTTATCCATCGATTTAAGGGGAAAGTTGAATATTACTAATATTAGCTTTTGTACCAGAACGATTTCGAGGAATAGGAGTACTGTCTAGTAACGTGGTTTGCTCTTTTTTGGGTGTTGATAACAAAGGATAGTGAGTTTGTGATTTACTGAGATATTTGCGATGATTAGCATCATAAATATCGAGATATTATTGTTCTAAAGAGAATTGAGAAGAAAAGGGTTAG